TTAACTTGTGTTCAAAGTCCTCTGTGAATCAGCTCCTGAATTCTTCCCTCAGTGAGACCAAGAACTTTCCATTTGTCTCCCCATAGGGAGATGCATCTTGGAAAAATGGACTTTTATCTGTGTTTTGGTTTTGGTTTGACCATCATTAGTAAAAATGACACCTTTCTTCTTATCAGGAAAGATTTTAGGAACACTTGAGTTTGCTTGACATTCTCAGTGATTTCAGTAACTCAAATATGTTTATAATTACCAAAATAAATTACATTTATAACTACCAAAAAATAGAATTAAAAAAGTGACAAAACAATATTGGATGTTAATTGTCCCTTTGTGTGTATCTGTGCTAGTACTGGAGTTGAACTGGTGGTTTCTCTCACACACCTTCTTTTCTCCCTTCCTTCCTGTTTGTGGACACACTGGAGCCTGAACTCTTGCTTGACTGTTTTTCTCAAGGCTGCCATTTTACCATTGAATCTCTGACCCACTCCCAGCCTTTTCCATGTCAATTTATGGTAAGATTGGTCTTCCCAGACTCACAACTCAGCCTCTTGACTGGACTTAGGTATTAGATGTGGGAGCCACTAGCATCTGAGAATCAAACCAGGGCCTTATATGCATGCTAGGTAAGCACTCAATCACTAAGCCACATTCCCATCCCCAGCATCCGGTAATAATTATACTTCTCACTGGAAATAAGAACCCTGGTTTATAGTATGGGTTGATAAAAGAAAATGGCAACACAGTGTTTGTGCAAGTGCCAGTATTCCTCAGACATAATTTCCTGGTGGACTTGAGTGTACCAAGTGTTCTACCACTGGCCACACACCAACTCATGATGGTCTTCTTTCCCCGCTTTTTCAAAATAGAAAGTGATGCCTAACTCCAGTGGCTCACGCCTGTAATCCTAGTTACTCAGGAGGCTGAGATATGAGTATTGCTGTTCAAAGCCAGCTGGAGCCAGACAGTCCATGAAACTCTTACCTCCAATAAAAACCCACCAGAGGGGCTGGGAAGATGGCTCAGTGGTAGAGCGCTTGCCTTGCATGCCTGAGGCCCTGGGTTCGATTCCTCAGCACCACATAAGCAAAAAGAAAAAAGCGGGAAGTGGCGCTGAGGCTCAAGTGGTAGAGCGCTAGCCTTGAGCTGAAAAGCTGAGGGACAGTGCCCAGGCCCAGAGTTCAGGCCCCACGACCGGACCCCCCTCCCCCCCAAAAAAAAACCCACCAGAAAATTGGAAGTGGCGCTGTGGCTCAAGTGGTAGAGCACTTGCCTTGAGCTGAAGAGCTGAGGGACAACAACCAGGCACAGAGTTCAAGCTCCATGACCAACAAAAAGAGAGACGGGGGGGGGGGAGGGGGAAGGAAGAGAGAAAGAGATTTTATTTTTTCAGTGAAAGTTTTATTTTAGTTAAACCCTAAAAGATATTTCCCAAATATGTCCTGCCTTCCCCTCAACTCATCTACTTTTAATCAATGCCTTCCATCTCAGGGGAACATCTGTTATAACTGATGGCATACTTTTTCTTTTCATTTTTTTGGCTGTCTTGGCGCCTGAACTCTGGGCCTGGGCACTGTCCCTCAGCTCTTCAGCTCAAAGCTAGTGCTCTACCACTTGAGCCATAGTGCCGCTTGTGGCTTTTTCTTCTTCTTTGGTGCTGAGGAATCAAACTCAGGGCCTCATGGATGCAAGGCAAGCATTCTACCACGCAGCCACCTTCCCAGCCCCCCCTTTTGTACCTTTTGTACATCATATGGGTCTTGAGAGTATCATGACAGTACGATTGGTATTTTTGTTGTCCTACATATTCTGTTTACTCCTCTTTCCTAACCATAAATCTTGGCAGCCCTGATCTTTTTATTTTATCCATAGGGATAAAATAGTTGGAAACATACAGATCTGACCCTCTTCAGATGGATTTTCTTTCACATAGAAATAGGCATTTAAGACTCTTCCAAGTCTTTTAGGTGTGACAGCTCATTTCAATGGTGAAGATTACCAAGTTGTCTGGATATATCATAGTTTATTTATCCATTCACTGATACCTTGCTTTCTTTAGCTTTTGACAATTGAGAATAAAGTTACAACACATATTGATGTGAAAATGCTTATGTAAATATATACTTTGGAGTCCTGGAGCCAAATACCCACATGTACAATTGCTGGATAGTATGGTCAGAACATTTGGGGATGTGGTACAGTAGTAGAGCTAGGGAACCTTCAGCAGGATAGGATATGATCAGATAGAGAGAAAGAAGAAGAGAGAAGAGAACACAGAACAGGACAACAGGACAGGACAGGACAAGATGGGAGAGCATGGGAGTGGATAGTATGGTCAGCACAGAAATGGAGGGACAAAGGGGAACAAATACAGCAGTGACACAAAACACGACTGAAAATGGGTGGGACTCATGGGTGGGCACAGGAAGGAAAAACTGGGTGAGAGTTAGAAAAGGGGTGACACTGATAAAAAAGAAATGTACTCTGAATTGGATGTATGTAACAATAACCCCTCTCTACAGCACATTTACAAACAAGTAAATAAATAAGTAGAAAAACCCTAAGAAATTCTCAACAGCAAGGTAACAAACTGAGAACACTAAATATGAGCAAGGATATGAAGCTTTAGCAACTCTCATTCCTTGGTGGTGGGAATGCAAGATGGGACAGCCACTTTGGAAAATGGAAACAAAATAAGGCAAGGAATATTAGTAACATTAAATACCATTGAGTAGGGTAAAGTACTAGAAAGTCAGTTTGGCCACTTTTTACAAAACTAAAAAATATTCAGCATACAACCCTTCGTGTTTTGACGCAGAATTTGAGACTAGCTTCAAGTTCACCATCTTCCTTCCTCTGTCTCCTATAATAGGGATTCAAGAGATTAAAGGCATGCAAGCCCATGTCTGGAAACACCTTTCCTTTTTTATCTAGCACCATGGATTATACTCAGGCATTCAGGTTTGCTCTTCTTGCTTGCTCAGCTGTCACTCTACCACTTGAAACATGACTTCTCCAGCCCAGCTGTTACTGATTACTTTGGAGATGTGGACTCCCTGAATTTTCTGACAGCACTGTTTTGATGAGCGTTCTTTCAGGTCTCAGACTCCTGAGTACGTAAGATTTCCTGGCTGAGGTTCAAACGTCCATTTCAGCAAGGTGGGCTATAATTCACTCTGTTACTGAAGAATTACTGACATTTTTTACTGTCTTAAGAAAAGCTATTAAATTCCTCCCTGTTTTCGGTGAATAATTAGAATCAACACAGAGAGAAAATATGGATTCCAAAAGTAAATACAGAATACTCTTCAAAACTCAGCTATCCACCAAACTGCAATACCCAAGCACCTCTCCATTTATATATAAAATAATATGCATACTGAAAAGAACCCCAAAGATAGAAAACAAAGAACCTCTTCTTAGTTTGTGCGATCATTTTAGAGGACTCTGTCTTCTTAACTTCATCTATGGTGTATACATGCGCACATCTGAGGGAAGGTAGGAGCAGAGCACAGAATCAGTGGAAAGCAGGTGAAAAAATACAGCAGAAGGGCCCATAAGGGACATTGGACATTGGTGACAGTGGACTAATCAATGCAAGGGTGGAGATGGGGTGGAGGGAATGAGAATGAAGGAATAGCTGATATGAAGCAAAAGCAAAAGGAAAGAAATGTACATATCACTCTATTTGTAAAGAAAAAAGTGTCATTGTAAAAGGTCATAGAGTTCATAAGCAATGTAGATTAAGATGATCACTGAAAGCATCCATCACATCCATCCTAGGAGACCATGGGGAGGCAGGCAGGCACAGGAGAAAGATCATTACAAGGATTAATAGAGGAGCCATATTTGCCCCGAAGAGAGAGCACATGGCGACCTCTGCTATCTAGGTAGCAGCAGGGTCTGGAGGTTAGGAAGTGAGGTAGATGGGAGTTAGATGGGTCTGGGCAGAGAGAGGGAGAGGCCAGCTGTATCCTGGGAACTCCAGGGCAGGGAGGGGCTCAGGTCTGGATGGAGCTGAGGACCAAAGTAGGACATAGGCTTACCGTGACTATCATTATGAAGATCAAAAGGTGTTTGTGAATTTAAAATAAATAATTCAGCTTTCAACAGCCTGAAAATTGCTACATTAGCCTCTGCATGGGTAGAACCTAAGGAACTAGTCTTTTAGAAGAGACCAATGTCTAATGAAGAGGAAAAGTTACCTGGACCTTGATTGAAAGGATCCCACTTGGAAACCATGAACTGAGCTTTCTACAGTGAAGTAGAGAAACAAAATCATCCATGGAAAGAGACCTGAAGCACAAACCTTCAGGGGAAAGAAACAGATGCCTTCCATGAAGCAATGTCCCCTTTCCCTTCTCCTCTCCCATCCTCTCCCTTGTTCTCCATCTTGTCCTGTGCTGTGTTTTATCTTGTTTCATCCCCACTTCTCCTCTCCTTTTCCTCCCAAATCCTCCCCTATCCTATTCTAGCCTATCCTGGATTGAATGCTGTCAGTGCTGAAACTTCCCTAGCTCTAGGACTGCTCCACATCCCAAACCATTTGCTCTTATTAACTTTTATTAATTTGAGATAGTTTATGGATAGATCCCCTCATTCTCTATCCTCTTTGTTCCATATCCTGCCCGGTTGGGACAGAAAAATCAACAAGACCCATTCTGAAGCCATTTTTGTTCTAGCATATGCACCCCTCAAACCTCAGTCATGCTCACTCTATCACAGTGAAGACAAGCTTGCATTCCTAGGCACCAGATACATGGGTTGTGTTAACTAACTAGTTTATCATGAAGGTTTGGATCTAGACTGGAGGAATCCAGGGTTGGATTCATCTGTGATTGGGTGGATTATCTTTGCAGGTTTTTCAGGGCTAGTTCAGCCTCTCTAGGGTGGGTCCAGGGTGGGGAAGGGTGGATTATCTGAGTGTGCACATAAAACCCACAGCTTCAGAACATCATCTCTACAATCAGCTTCTTGGAGTTGCTCTGAGTAAAGCAAGGACAGAGGACAACATGGACATGAACTCTTTTGGTATAGGAGAATGGTGGACCGAGCCTGAAAATTTCAATGCCCCATTGGTCTTTTACCTGGAAGAGGAGCTGGAGCAGATAATATTCGGTAGGTGGCCCTTATGCCATCTCCTGTCTCTTCACATTCATCAGTCTCTCCCCATGTTTCCTCTTGGATCTGTGCCAAGCCTCTACCCTCACATTCACCTAACTCCCAGTTCTGTTGGTGGTTTTCCTGTTCTTCCTCTCTCCTTTTCTGTTCCCAGGGCAGGAGGACAGATACCTCCGCTGCATAGAGGAGCACAGCCATACCCTTATTCAGCTGCAGTCCTGGTTCACAGTCACAGGCCACACCCGAGTCACTGTGGTGGGTCCACCTAGGGCCAGGCGATGGCTGATGGGCATGATATGTCTTTTGGAGCACAGGAGCTTTCACTATCGAGCTCGAGGTAAGTGTCTGTGATCTAATTGCCGTTGAGGCCTTGATGCCAAGCTTGGTGCTCCTATATGGCATCATAAAGACTTGGGCTGCTCAGGAATCTGAGAATCCAGATGTTCCCACAACCCCCTGCAGTGCAGGACCCCAGAGTCAACCATATTATGAATCAAGTCATCGAGGGAGGAAAAGGAAATGAGGGATATGAATGGGTTCTCTTAGAGGGGTGTGCTGGGATTTCTCTTGCCTCCCCTCTCCTTCCCTTGTGTTCCCATAGGTTTCTTGTGCTCCTAGATTGTCTGACTTTTCCTCTTCCTCCCAAGGCTACCAGATGCTGCAAAGTGTCCGGAGCCAGCCCCTAACCAACAAGGACTTGGCTGCCAATCTCAGTGTGCAGCTTGACTCCTTGGTGGTGAAAGGGTATCAGGATGAATGATCCAGCTCTCCACCTTCCTCAGGCTTCCTTCGGCTGAGTGCTTCAGTGTCTTGGGCTCCCATGTCCTTCATTATCCCAGGAAGACCCACCTCCTCTGCAGAGCTAAGTGAAGACATGGCAGACAGTGGTGGACATTAACATTTTCGCCTTTGTTATCTACCTGAGGCCTTCTAGACACATATCAGAAGGAGTCTTCTAAAGAATGTGCTCTGCTGGTGAATGATATCCAATAAAACTGGTTATGCAGTCTGCAATGCCTCTATGTGACTCCCTCTCTTCCTCTCCCCCTTCTTTCTTTGTAAGCTTATCCTGCCATTTTCTCATAATCCCTTCCAACTTTTAGGAAACACACAGCCTCTTTCAAGATATCTCAGATGTTCATATTTGTAGTTGGTTTGTTCATATTTCAGTTTGAAACAGTGATTACATAGTGATCTCACAGTAGAAAAGAATCATGGTTTGCATTTGTCTCTTGAACTCAGTGTGTTCCAAAAATGGGGTGTCATCTGGCAAAAATGTCATTTTACCTGCTATCTTCAAGCCTCCTGTTCAACAGATACAGTGACTCTATGTACCAACTTGGATACAAATAACAAATAAGTGTGCTTGGTGGATAATGCCTATAATCCTAAGATTTTCAGTGTAGGGTCTGCACAGGGACACCTACGCACCTTTTGGCTAAGTTTCCACCCAGTATCTGTTACCTAGGTAAGTGGCAGACCTGGAAGCAGTCACCTTCCCCTCCTGCTAGGCCACATCCTGGGCCACCTCTGGTCACATGCTTCCCATCTGACTTTAGGAGGGTCCCAGACCCTGAAGTCACATCTGGAGCCAGTGTGGCCACACTTTTCCCCCACCTGGCTACACCTCTTCCTGTCCCTGGCCTAGATAAGTTCTGGCCCATAGGTGGGTCACCCCTTCCTTTTTCAGCTCTGCCTCTCCATCATGCAAGGTCGGGGCAGCAGTTGGGTAAATAAACTTCTCCATCTGAATAGTGCCTGGTGTTCTCTTCATCGGCTACCTAATGAAACCTACCTAATGTACTTTATACTCAGGAGGCTAAGATTGGTCTATGAAGCCATCCCATGCAGGATTATTTAGAAGACTCTTCTCTAATTTTCCAGTAAAGAGTTCAATAGGGATGTAGGTTTCAAGTGGTAGAGGGCCAGTGTTCAGCAAAAATACCTGAGACAAACTCAGGCTATGAGTTCAAGCCCCAATACTGCTCGTGTTCCCCTCTAAAAAATGCTTAGGTAGCCAGCAAACTGGCAGGTCATCAGACCACTGAGGAATCTGGGGGAACTGGCAGAGCTGTAGCTTGAATTCCTGCATTTGAGATGGGGGAAGTCACTGTTCCCGCCTGGGTGCCTTAAGAAATGTGTATCCAGGAGTTCGTATGTTCCCCTGTGAAGACAATGATTGAACACAAGGAATACACCATACACCATCCACTCTGCCCTGGCTGCTGCTTCTCATCAGCACCTCATGTCTAAAAGGTCAGAATACATAGGAAGTCCCTGGGTAGTGTGTGAAAATAAAGTTAGGAGTCTTTTACTCTTTCTTTGAGTTGCTTTTATGGCTTTTGTATGTGGACACTACCAAGGTTTTCCTCTCAGGTCTTTGAGCTCTCACATGAGCCACATCCTCAGATCCAGCTTTTCTGTAGATTAAGTGAAAAGTGTCACAGAATTTTCTACCCAGCCTGGCTTCTAACCTTGATTCTCATATTCCCCTTGTGAATTAGCCAGGATTAAAGGCAAGCACTGCAGGGTCTACATTCACAGGACTCTTCCCTTTTCCTTACTAAGCATGTTTTGGTCTGATTTTCACTTAAAACCCTTCTTCCTATTTTTGCCTAAATTTCATAAGATTAATAAAAACTTTTCATATTAAAGAGATGTTCTTCCCTGAGGGGAAGTCCGTCACCAGAGGAGATTCTAGTAATAGAGGAAATGCTCACAGGGAAATAGAACTATTTCGTCTTTGAAAAGTACTTAACCCACATGGGTAAAGTAGGGACTTGGGGTAATCCCTGCAATTAGAGGTGACAAAGGGAGATCAAGTTTTTGACGCCAACCCTGGATACATACAGAATATTCTCTCAAAAAAACAAACAACAACAACAATGCCAAGCCAGGCACCGGTGGCTCATGCCTGTCATCCTACCTACTCAGGAGGCTGAGATCAAAGGATCACAGTTCAAGGCCAGCTTAGGCAGTCAGTGAGACTCTTATCTCTAGATAAGACCACTAGAAAACTAGAAGTAAAGTGCCGTGACAGCACTCAAGCCCAGAGTTCAAGCCCCATAAACAACAAAAGAATAAAACAAAACAAAACCCAAAAAACAAACCACCCACAAAACAAAAAACAATCAGGTACTCATGGGTTACATGTGTAACCTTAGAATATTAAGAGCTGAGATAAAGACACGACAAAAGACATGTGGAACATGACTATTATTAGGAACATCTATTAGGATGTTCAATATTGGTTTCTGTTTTTCAGAAACTAAAACGTATTGGGAACCCTATCCACTGTCAAGCAAGAACAATTCTGTGGCAAGTCTTCCAGGTAGAAGGGTAAGGGCTGCGCACCTCCAGGCAGGCTCAGACACCCTCTGCAAAGGATGCTAGGGATATAGGCAGTAGGGGACTTCCTCTTTCTGTAGCCATTTGAACAAACTACCTATGTGATAGACTCTAGGGTCGGGTCGTGTGAAGGACATAGCTGTAAACTTCCTGCTTGGCTCTGTTCTGATGAGAGCCCACAGTGGACCATATCCACATCCAGAACCTCATCATTCTCTCTCTCCAGTTTAACTGCAGCCACATAGGGGAAAAGCAATGTCAGGGACTCATTTGAACAGGACACTAGCTGTAACTATGGGAGTAGGTTGACTCCTCTCTGGAAATCTGTCCCTGGGAACAACCCTACCTCTTCCTCTCCTCATGCACCTCCAGCCCCTGGGAGCAAAGACAATTTGATTAGGAATCGGAAAGGACATGAAGCAGAGCACAGTTACAATGTAGCAGCTCAGCTCAGGTCCCACCTCCTTGCTTTCCAGGTGTCTGTGCTGTCCTCCTTCTCACTTGGTTCTCCAGTGGCAGGCAACACCAGAATCCTCAAACCTGTTGGTAATGTACCAACTTCCAGCACCTTGTCTGATCCCATTTAGGGCTGTGTCAGGACATTGTCTGAGGGAGCAAGTCCTCTGATGCTGCTAGACTCAATTCCTGCCACAGCTGGAAGTGGCTCTATCTCGGGAGACACAGGCCTTGCCAGCCCAAGAGCTGTCTCTTCTGCTGCTCTCACAGCTGGAAGTTGCTGTGTCATCTCCACTGTCAGCTTGAGATCCTCAGCAGCTGAACCATGGGGTGACTCTTCAGCTGCCACATTTGGAAGTTGGATGATCTCATTTGATGTGTGTACACTGAGCTTTGGTTCCATACTACTGGGAGAGTGGGATTCATCTGGGAGTAGAACACTGTGTACATGGCCTCTGTTGGATTACTCTACATGGGCAGGGACCACTGGTGGGTCCTTCCAAGAAATGGCCAGAAGTTTCTACCCTGTGGTCAGGATCAAGGGCTGCTCCAGCATCTTCACACACTGATCTTCTGCCCTGAATCTGGGCTGTTTCAGTACACTGTCCAGAGGTGAAATACTGTCCTTAGGAACCCTGTGAGCTGTCTTGTCTTCTCCACCATGCTGATTGTGCAGGAAACAGTGTGTCAGGGGCAGGGACTGGGCTTGGTGGGGAGGGGGTTCTCAGAGGAGGACCTTGTGGACAGCCCATTGATGGGTATGGCAGAGTGCACAGCTGTGTGACACCCTGCTGGTCCTCCCCCAGGATGGTGCACAGGTGAAGAACAGCCACACTGGCTCTGGCTATGGGAACATGCAAGGCCAAATATCCTGTAGGTATTAGGCAGAAAGACATTAAGAAATTCAGGGGGCCTTGGAAGGTGGCTCAGTCGTAGAGCGCTTTCCTTGCATGCATGAGGCCCTGGGTTCGAATCCTCAGCACCAAATAAGCAAAAAGAAAAAAGCCGGAAGTGGCGTTGTGGCTCAAGTGGTAGAGCACTAGCCTTGAGCTAGCTGTGGGACAGTGCCCAGGCCCAGAGTTCAGACCCCACGACCAGACTCACCCCCCAGAAAAAGAAATTCAGGACCTTCAAGGGGCTGCTGCAGCCCAAACATTGTTCTTTTTGCCATTCTATAAGCAGGTATATGTCCAGGGCAACACTATCTCTGAGCCAGTGAAACGTCTAGGACTTCCTGTGGTTCATAACTGAGGTGGTTCATTAGCAGAGAGATGATGAGGTGTGGGAGTTCAGGACTCTGTCTCTAGTGGTGAAAGGCCAGAACATTTTTAAACATGGGTGAAGTAGAACACACTCCAGCGAGGGCCTGGGCTTGAGGTCCACCATAAGGATGCAATTTACCTGGCTTTGAAACTCAGGAGAGCACTTGGCTGTGATGCTGTGGGCCCCCTCAGCACCGGTTTCTCCAGATCCTTCATATTCACACTTGAAATGGGAAGCAACCTACAACACAACAAACTGCATCTCTCCCAAGCTGCACATGTCTACTCTGGAGCTGTCATACCCTTGGTGCTCTGGTAAGACTTCCTGAGAACAACATCAGAACGTCCTGCACTTTAAGTCTAGCTTCTGGGCAGCTGAGAATCTGGTACTGAGGTCAAGGTTGCAGCCTTAGCGTTGCCTATAGTGTCTAGTAAGATGTTCTGCAATTTAGTTCTCACTGTGCCATGCCCAGTTCGTGGGAGTATCTCATGGTGCTCATCATCTGCCTCAACACTGTTTGCACTTCCTCCTCCACAGACAGCCCAGCGTTTGGATTAGATCCAGTATGTTGCCTCCCTCCATGGACTGTACTGCTAGATAGACTCATTCCTCAGTTCCTAGGATATGGAATAAATCAAACACGTTTTGGAATCTTGATGGGACCCAGGCAATAGTCAAAGTTCTTGGGTGGGA